ACTGTGGCTTAACTATTTTCTAGGTAGCCCAAATGCCAGCCTTCGTGCCGAGTAGGCGTATAAAGGGTTATATAGTTGATGTGGCTTGTATGTGTAATAATGCTTCTAGTTCTTTGACAAAGTTACTGTGTTCTTGTGCAATAAGATAGGTAGTTTTTGTTCTAGTTCTGTTCTAGGGTAAAACCCAGGTGTATCTGTTGTTAGAAAAAATTATTCGGTATATATAATCTGTCTGTCAAAGCCAGAATGTTTGAAGGCACGTTAATAGAACATTTACCTTTTTACCCACATTCAATGTTTTGTGTTTAATTTGTTTACTACATACATCCCGCCTAAAAAATGCGGTGAGGAACTCTTATCTGGCAGCCTGAAAACTGCCTCGCTGTGGTGGTCAAGTGGATAAGGTACGCGGCTGCTGACCCGCAGGTCGCGGGATCGAATCCCGGCTTCGGCGGCTGCATTTTCGATGGAGGAAGTAATGTTATAGGCCCATGTGCTCAGATTTGGATGCATGTTAAAGAACACCAGTTCGTCGAAAGATTTTCGGAGCCCTCCGCTACGCGTCTGTCATTATCATATGGTAGTTTTAGGACAATAAACCTCACATATGAATCATCAACCAAGCCTGAAAAGCGCTAGGGGCCATATATTTTTCGTCGGAGCCCTGAGACTATGAATTGCCAAGCGGAATATAACTGTAAAAGAAAACAATCGGGCACCCACATGGCCAAGCTCACCGGAAATGCTAAATGTGAGTTACTGAAAAATATTGGTTTGCCACAGTGGAGCAGAGGTTATGTTGCTCAGCCGCTTACCCGAACGTCCGAAAGTTCAATCCAGGGCACAGAAGTGACGTTTCAATAGAGGGAGAAACATTGAGGCCCGGTTACTCTGCGATATGAAGTGAAGGTTGATGAACGCCAGCTTGTCGGAATTCAAGAAGCCCTTTACTACGGCCTCTTTGATTTGGAAGCACGTTTGGAAGCTAGTAGACTTGCTTTTTAGCGCATTTCTTATCTCCATTTATTGCAACACTGGCCGCAGTCCTCATACTGTGAGCCGTGCTGCACATCAGCAACTACACACTGTTTTCGCTGACGGTTATTAGTGTCACAATCAGTCTGAAACAGGTGACATGTTGCGCTTTAAAGACTTGAAAACTTCTTTAACCTTAGCTTCACGATCCTCTGTCCTACATAAACATTGTCACTGTCTTGCAGTATACACGCAAAGCTTTTTATAAAACACTTTCTTGATAGTTTTTTGTTTGCTATAAAACTTTGATCAACCAGCAGGAAGTCTCCTAAAACGTTCAAACAGATCTGACTGAAAATGCTAACCAGAAGAACTGTACACGGTGGCCATGAACGTGTCTTTGGTGAAGAAATTGCGGAGCACCAGAAAAGCCGCAACTGCTCAAAACAATGCATGAGCCTACTGCAGTCCACTAAATCACCACCCCTAAGTGATGTTTTAGCAAAATTGGAGGTGATAACTGCGCACGTCTTGAGCAGCTACACGAGTTTGATATTGAGAAGCGTGAAAGATGTGCTTGATGTTTCATATATATTCTGGTTTGTTTTACAGATTATTTTGAGGCATTTCACAGACAAGCAGTTGTGAAAAACTTTAAAAATCAAGGTGTAAAGGTGGCTCAGCTCCTTCTTATTCTGAGAACTTATTTCTGGCAGTGGTACAGGAAGCATAGGAATAATGTTGACAACACATGTCGACTGTACAAGTCTTTTTATTTGACTCCCGAAAAATAATAAGCACAGCTTTTAGATAAAATAGGTGGCTTCGTTCACTTCTACGGCTCGTGCTCCTTCAAGCCAACTTTATGGCACAGTATTCAACCATTGCGGCACGCAGATTAAAAGAGCATCTTTCATAGAGCAGGAAATCAACTTTCCTATTCGGTGCATAACACTACTAGTGGTCTGGTTCTACAGTGTAAATATAAGGTAACCTCCTGCTCTTTCTGTACGGTAAAATGTAAATGTGGGCGAAAATTTTTGTTTTGACCTCAGTGAATTCAGACCAGATTGAAGTAAATGAAATCTTGAACCTTATTGCTGCAAGGTCGTTAGCCCTAAACATACACGTTGGTATTATAGGACTACAATTAGGGAGCCGCATTCCTAGATGTAAGCAGTGGGTGCACACTGATGAAAACTGGTCTTTAGTATTAACAATCGTTGCTGTTTACTATCATTAGACTGCGATAAAATTATGAAAAACACCGCAGTGGAGGGCTTCAAAAGTTTTAGTCCACCTGGGGTGCACCTATATAGAACGTAAAGCTATTGCGCGAGCCTCGAGCATTTTAGCCTCCATTGAAAATGTGCCATCCACGGAAAGCAGTCTTTGTTCACTAGAGTAAAGTAAAGAGCCGACTTTTTCTGATACTTCCACTCTGTACATTCTTTGTTCCGTTATTTTGGTTTTTTATGGACGGCTAGCTCATAATTACTAATGACTGTTCTGCCCAGCACGCGCACAGGCCATGAAAAAGCACTTCCTTGCCTGGCAACGTGCTGACACAATGACACAGTGAATCTCAATTGGAACAATGAACATTAAGTCTTGAAGCGGACATAAAATAGACTAAAATAAAAGGCACTGAAGCAGAAAATGTCGCCGATTGTGGCAGTTCACAGGGAAATGCATGAACAAATTTATTAGAATTTACATCACTACTATACCCGTACTGAAGGCCATAGAAACGGGGGGTGCAAATTTGTCACACTTGGTGAAAAGGAACCATGCATTGAGATGTGGCTAAAATTACAACACAAAGTAAGAATATTTATTACCCGAAATAGTTGATTCTGTGTTTTTGTTGCATTGTGGGCAGGTTTCTCAGCCTTAGAGGAAGATTCGTTGCTAGTCCAAGTGACCCTTCTTTTAACATAACCTATATGTAAGCCATATATATATTCGCAGTATTCATTGAGCAGTTGGAGGTGAAAGGTCATATTTATGCAGAGTGCATCAGACTCAATGTGTCCTTCACGTTCAAGGTCTTTCAGAGGCAATGAGGTGTACCAACAAAACCCTTCATTATGTGATTCAGTTGGCCTGACAAAGGATTCCTTGGTAACGCATCCACGATTGATCATTAACTCATGGTTTTTATCTGGAGATGAATGTACGAAAGTGAGCTTCAGACTGTGAGAGAATGGCCACTGTAAGAACTCGTCAGCATCACCCTTGAGCAGCCGCACATGAGCGTGCACCGACACTGAGCTCTCATTTTTCTGCAGATACAGTCCTGGAGAAATGCGATAACCACACAGGTAGACGGGATCGCTCTCATATAGGCTCCAACGTGAAGATATTGCCTTGTCTTTCAAAGCTGCGAGTCCTGTGACGTAAAACATGTTGTGTGTAATGCTCAGTGTGTTTAGCGCAAGTAGATGGTCTCTTCTCACATCGGATGTGCTTTCGCTGATTTTGCTGTCCGGTACTTTTGACGCAGAGCATAGTGAACCGTTTGTTCTGCACTTCTGTACAATGACATCTGTAGCACGCTCCAATGCTTTATCAAGAATGGCCTCGAAAATGCTCACAGTTTGCAAGACACTTTTCGACTGGTTGTCGTCGTTGCTACGTCGTCGCTCGCCTTCAGCAATAATCTCGTCTAGCTTATTCAAACACTTTTTTGTTTCGTTGGCTGCTACGACTTTGAAATTTTCAGTTAGAGTGCCTATGCGTTGAGCAACTTCGTCAAGTCGGTTACCTTGTGCCGCCAAGTCATCTCTGACTTCTCTAACAATGGTGATCTTGGCTTCACTAACTGCCCGGGTTTGCTTTTCTGACGTGTCCATCACAGTCTCCCTGAGTGTATTGACCATGTGCGAGAAGTCATTCGGTCTATCGCAAGGTGTGTTGTCTCGCACTGCCTGGTCAAAAGCAGATCGTAGTTCCCTAACACCATCTTTCAATGCCACCTTTAGCTCGGTGAACACAGCTTCTGGAGTGCAATTCTGTGATTGTTCCTGATGGTGAGCTTCGTTGGGCAAAACATGTGTGCTGCAGTTGTTTCTCCTATGCGCGCACACATTCCTGCACAGGATCAGAGCGGAGCACTTTGGACAGCGAGTAGAGTGATGCATGCAGTCTTCATCAAAGTGCTTCAGCAAATCCGAAGCACTCACGAGTGCGCCGCAGCCGTTGACCTCGTTCCAGCATTTCACCTGCAACAAATGAAATGCAGCACCAAATAACTCTAAAGAACTTAAAACATTTTAAAGAAATATGTGAAACTAGTTGGGTTATAAAAAAAAACTCTCAGTTTATTTTTTTTATTCTCATGTATACAGTATTGGCTAAGTAACAGTGAATTAAAACTCGATTCAACTTGGCACCTTTGAGGTCTAAAATACATTTTTATATCGAAAGTCCAGAAATGATCGACTTCATGTGTCAAATTGTGACTGTACTGACTGAGTAAGTTTATTACTCTTCAGAAGAAGCATATACGCATCACAGAGCGAAAAGTAGTACTTCATTTTTTATTTTCTAGTGTCTGGCAGTAATTACGGAATAAGCACGAAGAACACACGCCGGTTGAGTTCGAGAAAACATATTTCAATATTAGCAACAAGGGTGCAACCTTTTCATAATACAATGCTTTCGAGGGGCCACTGGTAAAAAAACAGTACGAAGTTTCTGTAGCGACTGCTACAATTGTAAACCATGCGCTCCACTTCTGTGAACCCTGAAGATATGCGTAGCATGGATGCCTACTTGTTCTCCCGGACAAAAGTGTCAGTTCTCTGCTGATTCGACCACCTGTGAAGCCAATGGATTAGTTTAGCACGTGATGTTTCACAAGCACTAGTATATATTGTTAGAGAGATTCGCAAATTTGGCTTCCATCATTCAGAAAATTTTTTTGAATGCCAAGCATTTCTTGGCAAATTTCGGCAACTTTGAGTCTATCTATCTATCTATCTATCTATCTATCTATCTATCTATCTATCTATCTATCTATCTATCTATCTATCTATCTATCTATCTATCTATCTAGCCGCTTAAGTTTCGATGCTCAAGTGGTCACCCCCTTAACTTGGCGTGAACCAAAACTATAGCTTGGTTTGACGAATATGATGCGCTAGTCATGAAATTAATAATGTCCCAATCCTGTGACGTACGTCGTCAAACACTTACCGCCAGATACTGGCACATACCCATGGGCGCGTATATGCCGCTGGTATGTGGGTATGTGCCGTGGGTGATTGATGCTTAGTATCTACCCCAGAACGACGACAGCACATAGGGACAATTTTAACGCTTGAGCGTTAGGAAATACCTGACATCGCTATAGCGTCCACCCAACGATGACATAAAATAAGTGTCAGTATTAAGAGAATCGACCACATTCATACTATCAATATGGTAATAGAGAAGTGCTCAGAATATAAACAACCGCCCCGCCGTGGTGGTCTAGTGGCTAAGGTACTCGGCTGCTGACCCGCAGGTCGCGGGATCGAATCCCGGCTGCGGCGGCTGCATTTCCGATGGAGGCGGATATGAAGGAGGCCCGTGTGCTCAGATTTAGGTGCATGTTAAAGAACCCCAGGTGGTCTAAATTTCCGGAGCCCTCCACTACGGCGTCTCTCATAATTATATGGTGGTTTTGGGACGATAAACCCCACATATCAGAATATAACCAAACACTATACATAGAATTAATAGATTAGGAGAAGGGGTATGATTCCGTAGAAGTAACTGTCATGCAGACACTTCGAAATCAGGGCGTCGATGATGCATTTATAAACATCCTGGAAGAAATTTACAGGGGATCAACTGCTACCATAGAGCTTCATAAAGAAACCAACAGAATACCAATCAAGAAGGGTGTAAGGCAGGGGGACACAATCTCGCCAATGCTATTTACCGCGTGCTTACAGGAGGTGTTCAGAAGCCTAGAATGGGAACAGTTAGGGATAAGAGTTAATGGAGAGTACCTTAGTAACCTGCGCATCGCCTATGACATTGCATTGCTGAGTAACTCAGGGGACGAATTGCAACTCATGATTGCGGAGTTAGGCAAGGAGAGCAGAAAGGTGGGTCTTAAAATTAATCTGCAGAAAACAAAAGTAATGTACAACAACCTCGGAAAAGAGCAGCGCTTCGAGATAGGTAATAGTTCACTTCAAGTTGTAAAAGACTGTCTACTTAGGGCAGGTAATAACCGCGGAGACGAACCACGAGCTTGAAGTAACTAGAAGAATAAGAATGGGGTGGAGCACATTTGGCAAGCACTCTCAAAATATCACAGGTAGATTGCCACTATCCCTCGAGAGGAAGGTATATAACAGCTGTATCTTGCCGGTACGTAGCTACGGAGCAGAAACCTGGAGACTTACTAAGAGGGTTCAGCTTAAATTGAGAACGACGCAGCGAGCAATGGAAAGAAAAATGGTAGGTGCAACCTTAAGAGACAAGAAGAGAGCAGAGTGGATTTGGGAACAAACGGGGGTTCGGGATATCATCGCTGAAATCAAGAAGAAGAAATGGACATGGGTCGGGCATGTAGCGCATAGACAGGATAACCGCTGGTCGTTAAGGGTAACTAACTGGATTCCCAGAGAAGGCAAGCGGGTTAGGGGGAGACAGAAGGTCAGGTGGCCAGATGAGATTAAGAAGTTTGTGGGCATAAATTGGCAGCAGCAAAGCAAGCACAGGACCGGGTTAACTGGCGGAACAGCGGAGAGGCCTTTGTCCTGCAGTGGACGCCGTCAGGCTGAAGATGATGATGATGATGATTATGAAAAAGCTGACATGGGCAGCGTTGACTCCCAATAATGCAAACAATTAATTTGAGGGTCCCAGGAGGAATCGAACCCAAGCATTTTGCGTGGCAGTCAAGCATTCTACCAAAGAGCTACACCAGGTCTCAAAACTACTTTTCAAATAGACGCTAATCTGCCTGAAACGTCAATAGTGGTTGCAATGCTGCCTACCCAATTTTACAGACATTACATATGTACTATTTTTATAAAGCCATCACGTTGGGTTAACGTAAATTGTAGTTGGGTACCATGCGCTGAATTTGATTAATGTAGCTGTGTCCAGGGCTAGCATGTTCGCGAGCATGAGCGCTTCATATGAGCTTCTGGTGTTGCTAATACGCATGTTCTAGTTGGCATCGTTGCGCAAGTGCTATCGTCTAGAGTTATAAAAATCTGCAACTCTTCAACATATGTCAGTGTGTGAAGTAACTGTACATGTATTTAGCGTCTTTTTGAAGACTTGTTGCTCAATAAAAAAACTGCAACATGGTCACCTTCCCTCGAAAGGTGACAATGTGACCACTTCGCATAACGTCGACTACGCCGGTACGTGGGATCTGCCATTTTTTTTGCACAAGTGAAATTATTGCGTAATTTGCGTAATCATTTCGGGCAGTGTCTGCGAAGAGAAACCAATACCAGGGGCACACAGTTCGAATTATCCTTTTCTGATACAGAAACGTTCATATTATCGGCACTTTTCTTCTATTGAAATGCACGGGGCTGTGCCGGAAGAAGGGCGTTAGTTTGAGTAAACTGTGTGTTTGAATTAACTGAGTTCGAAATGAAAACATTTTACTGTATTAATTTTCTGCCCGCATTCGGGGTATTTGGGCCTCTGCCAGCGCTTCAAAGCCATTTGTGGCGCAAACTTTGGCCTCTTTTTGTTTTAGTGGACCAGTGGTGAATAGTGAGATCGAGCAATCTTTTGTGGTCCATAACCGCTTAAAATTTTAGTTTTCTTGAAAGCCTTGGAATTGCACATATCCGTTATGGTGGTGATAATTTGCTGCGATCACCTTACAAGGAATATTTTTTAGGCAGCTTCGCCATAATATTATCTGGAGTTGTACCTGTCAAAACCACAATACGGCTACGAGGCACGGAATAGCGGAGGGATCCACATATTTGTGCATCTGTTGTTTATTGCCGTGAAGAGTACTCAGACTTCTAGCATACTGGCTCCATCGAACTCTGACTGCCGTGTCCTGTGACAGTCGAGAAACGCAACTACTTCAGTATCTGAGTTCCGCTTGATTTATTTAAATGTGGGTGAAATCACTTTTATTTTTACCTGTAACGTTCAGAGTGGAATGCTTACACCTCTTTTATAGCGAAATATTGGCATTACTCAAGGTGCAGCCACGTTGTATCTTACATCTATTTCTAACTATTGCGATCATAATTGCACCATATTGAAACGGAATAGATTTTTTTTGATCTTCAGTCTTACCTTACGCCTGAGCAGATTCTCCAAAGGAAAGTCTCTCAAATCAGCGTCTTCAGCCGAAACCTGTTCACCGTCTAGGGGACATTCGTGTGCGTCGGTATCCAAGCACTGTTCATAGCATGCTTCGCACAGTACATGTCGACAGGGCAGGCAGATGGTCGTTCTGGGCAGCAAACCACAAGCGTCGCATATTCGGTACGCTGGAATAGGCTCAGCAAAGCGCAGAGGTCTCCAGTCCAGTTTCTGCGAAAACCCGAATAGTGTGTACTTCTGCATTTGAAAAGCCACGAAGAGGGCAGCGCGCCCACCCAAGGCCAAAACGGTCTTGTAAACTCCAAACGCTGTCAGCGCTTCTTCACTCGGCTGTTGTCGAGGCTTCTGTTTCTGATAATGCTACGCTTACTTCGTTATCGTTCGAACCACTATCTGAGTTTGAAAAAGGAAAGTTTTGTTATCGCCTCGTTGCACTGCGAGTAATTCTCAGCGCGAACCAAGCTTGCAGTGTTCGAGAAGCTTCATGACTGTAATAGATCGTTTTGTTAAAATCACGCCCACTTCGGGAACATTACAGAATATTCTGAAAGATACGCGGCCACTAGCAATAACACTAGAATATTCGAACACACGTGTGAAAATGCCGCCGCGCTTCGCCGCTTGTCAGTTGATCGTCGGACGATGCTCTATTCACCGCTATCAGTGTCCGTGTGTTTGCTGTAATCTGACCTTCATTTACTGGCTCCAAGTTCGACCGAATACACAGTTTGAACTGAAGATCGAGTGTGCTCCCTTCGTCGACGTCATGACCCCGTGACGTCTGGTGTAGGTGCTTTCCAGCCCATTTACCTAACGCTTCCCTTAAGCCGTGATGCGCGCATGTGCTCCCACGGGGCAAGTTCCGACAAGAGTTCGGGACGAGTAACAACACAGAAACTACAGGGAATTCATTGTGCACTCCACTTGCAAAGACGCATTACATCGGCCTAGGAGCCCATTGTGAACGAGACTTTTACTCCAACCATGAAGTTCTTCGCATGCTTGACATGGTACAAATTAGTGAGAAATGGCGTGATTTTTTTTGAAGTACAATCAATGCGAGTGCATCAGCACGGCTTTCGGAGAAATATGGCTGAGGCAGGCCTATTACTACTGAAGGCATGATCCCGATTGTCACTCATTCGGCGTCAAATTGATTCAATAATTGTTTGTAACAAGTTCTCTGGTAGCTCACTTCATAAGGCTTTACATATCCTGCGCCCAATCCCACCACTTTGCTTCTGTACTGGGTATTGCTTCCAAGAAGCCATTCCAAGCGGTCGCACTACGAACGTATCCACATTGTTTCATTATTAACCCTTGATCGACTGAATGGAAGGGCCTCTCTCATTCTGTCACTGAAATTGCGTGTCCATAAACATTTTGAAAAATTCTTTAGGTATAGGCGTCTACCAGTTACCTACTGTGCCACTGTAAGGCCACTCTTCATGTACAACCTCCCTAAGGTGGCGTTTAGAGAAATGATAGCAAAGTACAAAATAATGAATACACCGAAGAAGGCAACGCATGCCCACAGGGACACACGAAGAGAGGCATGAAGCATGAACGTATTTTGCTGCTCGGTTAAATGGTAAATTATCTTGTTTTCTCAGGAAGCATTCATTGGTTGTTGCATATAAATCACTGCTAAATCACCCCAAATTCTTGTAATTTTGACAGTTCCATGTTGGTGCAGTTGTCCTAGCAACCGATAAAACGTTGGCGATACAGAGCTCAGTCTGACTGGTAGAATCTTGTGCGTGCTATGAGAGAACTATTCAGCTTTAGATAAGCACTCTCTTTCATATTTCGTGGAAACATTTCACCTAGGTTTTGTGAATATCATGCCTGTTTCTTAATGTGCCATACATCAGGTGTTCGCTTGCAAAGTACGTGCCGGAAAATCTCGTTTCCAGCTGTACGCAATGCAATTTATAACTACGCATATCAAAACCTCGTGACGCCTGGTGACGCAACCAGGCTTTCCCTGTACGAAAATGTGGTGGCATGCTGAGCTACCGCGAGCTCCGCTTTGGGCTTACAGCGAGTTTTTCTCTGCAGAGGATGAAGATTGCATACATGCCACACACGCTACAAAAATTTATCTAGAATTTGAGGCATTTTTTTGCCGGTAAAGCCGTTGCAACTGGGCTCGTCTGACTACTTGTGACGCGCAAAGTTCTTGTCCTTGTATATCCCGATAAAGACTAATACAAGTGTCGGTGCCGGAATGTATTGGTTTGCTGTCATACCGTTTACCTTTGTGACCGGGCAGTAACTATAAGAGTTTGGTCTAATGACGCTACAGTTTAGCCTCATTAGGTTAAATTGGTAAACTTGAAATTAAAAACAGCGAGCGCTGAAAATGAATTATCTTAGCCGGTTTAGGGATATACCCGAATAACAACTAACATTACGCGACTTTAAAACAGATAACCTGTAGTAGAAGCCTTCAAAACAGCACCACCTAATTGTTTTTACATAAACTTTATCCGCTTTTTTTTCTTTTCTTTCCATTTTGTGAAGACGTATAATAATTTTCTGTTGTAAGAGTTACAATGCCTGAGAATTGAAAAGTATTGTCATTTTAAAGGCAGCTTATAAATCACTGCTGGTAACACTTTTTGAATGTACTTTTTTCTTTCGTGCCAGTTAGCTGATGAAGTGAACAACTACTCATGAACAACCACCCATGTCATAAAATGTCAAGGTAACAATGAACAACCGCTAATGTAATAAAACGTCATCAAGGAAAAGCACGTTCTGCTTGTTATCTAAACCGAAAGCAATCATAAATTAGCTCCCATTTGTTTTATTGTGTTGAACCCGCATAGCAGCACGGCAGTCGCTGTAGAATGAACCCTTCATCTTCAACGTGGCATTCATACTACACACGGTGCGGACACCTTTCAGGGTTACGCGTCACAGCGTATTGCAGTGCACGCACAAAAGAAGGAATATATGTCAAAGCACTCAGTACCAGAGCGATTCGAAAGAGTAAACAAATGTACTTTGAAATAGCGTTTCTAAAAACTCAGTCTTGCCAATGATCGCCAATGAATGCTTATAGGTTGGCGTTGCACAATGTTTTGTACAGATTATCTGTCTCCTTCCCACAGTAACGATCAAGTTTGTGCCCTATACCGTGGAATGTGGCCAATGCGTGGCGCCGTAGCAGACGATGTGGTTCTCGTCAGCTCCTTAAACATCTGTGCACATGTGAAGTGATGCCGGCAACGCAATGCCATGGGCTACTAGATTTACCCTAAGTAGTAAACAGACTGTTAGTTGGCGATAACCACTAGCAATGCCGGCTATTAAGTAAACGATTATGACATTTCTCAAGCTGGCTGCAGTGCAAGCGAAGGCGGTGTCTCCAGTTAACGTGGGTTTCAGGACGATGGAATCGTGGAAGACACGGAGGCTACAGATGCCGTATACCCGTGGTGGATGAGAGAACCATGTTGTTCTGTTTCCCAGGCTTATGTGACAGCTCACGATCGGGAGGCACTTACCTCTCAAGCATGAGCAAACACGTGCATTCAAACAAAAAATACGGCGGAGTTGAATGGAGAGCTCATGGAGAATTTTTTTCACTGTGACTTGACGATTCTCTCCTTTTTCTAGCATTAATCTTCTCTCTGTTCGCAGGCATCTCTGTCCAGAACGACAGCCATTTTCACTTTTGTGGAGGCAGCGTCATCACTCCCGACATAATTGTCACGGCCGTGTTATGGTGGCTAGCCGCGCACTGCGTTGACTCGTAGGGGCAGTGGTAGTATACTTACCACGTATTTCTATAGGGACGCCATTATGGCGGTGCTGTTTTGCTGCTTCGGTGAGTGTTCTTTGTCAAACACGCTAGTCACTCGGGCGCTTTGGATCAGCCATATCTTGACTTTTCCGAAACAGCAAAAATTACGAGTATGAGCAGCAAAACAAAATGGTGTTTCACTACAGGCACTCACAGCATGCCTAACCAAGATGTACAGTAACAATTGAAGCAAGTGTGCTGTATGTACCGCAGGACACTGTGTTCGATGTCAAGCATAGGTAGGGAAATTCACTCAGGATTATCAGAGGCCTGAATTTTACTTTTTTTCGGGGAGTATCATTTATGTTGCGCCTAAATCGCCATTTATGTTGCGCCATTTATGTTGCGCCTATCATTTATGTTGCGCCTAAATTTATGTTGCGCAAATACTTTGCGAGCGATTGCCCCGCCCGGTTTCCTCTTTACTATTTGTAGCTACTGTACTTTGTTTATTTTTTACCTAAACACAGGCAGGCTCTTAAATAAAAATTGTGCATAGTGCGACGCAAACCTCCATAAGGTATCTCGTTTGAGTAGCGTATTCCAGGAAAATATTGAAGTTTGACTGAAACCATTGATAACTCGTATTTCAAGGTACAAGATCAAAAGGTGTCTCGCAGAGCACCGATTATGACACATATAAGCATAGAGGAGCAATACCATCATAATGAAAAAAATCAATATCTATGATAGCGAAGTCAGTCGTATCACTGATGTTCACGTCAAGTTTTAAGTATGAGTGAGTCGTGCTAACTTGTATGTATAGCGAGTTGGTGTCCGAGTGAGTCCGGTTGAGGAAGAAGTTTCGAGTCTTACCCTGATTGAGCACTCAGAGTCAGAGAGAGAATTAAACTTTCTTTGTGAGTGGACGCACGTTCTCTTCACCCAAAGACGGGTGACTTACACATTTCACGTATACTCGGGGACATTTTTCTGTGGCAATGAAGGGAAGGCTACGAAGCCAAAGTGGGCATGTGCCACCGCTGTAGAAAATGGGGCCACGAATGAGTCCGTCTTTTCCGCGTGAAAGTATTGAAAAAAGAACAACAATATTTCCTGCTAAATGCTGTTTATAAAAAGACGCTGCACGCGCCGAAGAGATACTATTATTTGTTGCTGCTTTCTGAAGAGTCACTTCGCGTTTTGCCGCACCTGAAAACGTAGCATGTTTTGCGTGCACCTCACAGTCCAAATGGCGTCTTCGTCTTTAGCTGAGCGCGCGTCGCCCTCCAGCTATTCAGACGACTCGCCTAAGAAACTTGTGTCAAATTTCTCTCACAAGCGGCTGTGTGAGCAGGCGTATAAAACTGTGTGCAGTGGGACAACATGAACGCAGCCTTTATGCGAAGCGCGAGCCAAACCGGACTATATTTCCCGGAGAAGTAAAGGAGCTGTAGCTCCGCCCACGTAGCCTTCCCTTCAATGCCACTGAAAGTTGTCCCAGAGTAT